CCGGTGCCAATTGAGGATAATGGAATCTTGTTCTCGAGAGCTGGCGACGAAAAGCACTTGCTGCTGGAAGCTTTGCCTCGCTCACGTGTACCTCAAGGTGCAGCGTCCTGCCTTTCCTCTTACACGCTCAGAAACCCAAGCAGGCAATGTCTCACAGAGAGCTCAACCAGAATCTAAAGACAAGTTTCCATTCCGGTAGTGAGCAGAACCCAGATGGCAAGCGACACTGTTACAGCATTCATGCATATGCCGTCTGTGTGTAGTGCACTCACCAGCGATCTGCTCTCAGCTGCACCGCTGCTTCTGTAATCGCGAGCTGATGCCTGTGAGTGTGTTTGTTAAAGCTGGTTTCTCCGGGTCGCTCTCGCCCTCCCCAACCACTGCAGAACCCTCCACCGCTCAAGGAACAGCCCACCGGAGACACATGCAATGTCACATGCACCGCCACACTGAGCGCTTCCACATGGCCAAACGCATGAGTGCAAATTTCGATGGACGAACAAAGAACAATTCCTGCATACTAAGTAGCCGTTTTAAGACGTCGCGTGTGTTTAGGCTGAACCCTGTTCTCCATTACAGCTCCCTCCGGACCACTAGCCAAGTCAAGCAGAAGCGAGTCATTAAGGAGTGTAGGCTAGCGTTCACCTCTTCCCATCATCCCTCATCACTCGCTGTGCCTCCGTCCTCCAATATCTTTCACTCCCCCTCCGCTTTTGACTGCAGCCCTTCACCGGGAGGTGTTTGTGAGTGACATCACTCCGAGGATTTCCTTTTGTTCCGCAGACAGACCACTTCTCTCTCTCTCTCAAATTTACTAGCTAATTTACTAGTTGGTTTCAAAGGAAATCCTACATCATTTCTGCTTTCAGTACACTGAAGGAAAAAAGATGATTAAAAATGGACCTAAGATACAGGCTTTCCCCTTATACGTTCATGCAAATTTGAACCTATTATGATTTTACAAATTCTGGACACGTTTTGTGTCAAGTACGCACATGCAAACATACAGAAAATGACATTCTGAAAACTCATTTAAATGCATTGAAGCTGTTTTAAGTCTCTCACAATTTCTTTGTGCTCAAGATATTGTACAAGAAGTCTGCAATCAGAAGTCTCCTCAATTTCTCATCAAATTATTCAAAGACCAAATGATCCAAGCTATGTTATTCAAATTAATTTATAGATTTTGATCACAATCATTTTTTTATTTGGGACTATGTTTTGGGACTGTTTGCTTTGTTCCGCAGACAGACCACTTCCCCTCTCTCTCAGAAACGCACAGTGCTGTGAGCTATTTTTAGCAACAGAAAAAAAAACACAGCACGACTACAAAGCAGTAGGTTGCTAGAACTTGCTACACTGAGAAAAATACAGCAAAAATGGAGCCCAAAGTGGCTGCGCATCATGGAAAGTTGCCTGCGTTAGAAAAGAAAATTGCAAGGGAAATCCATTTTGTCTCGATAGTTTCTCCTAGAGTGCAATGAGATAAAGTGCAAACGGAGACTTTAGCTCATATCTACTGCTTTTCAGGATATTCTCTGGAGGATCAAACCCAGTAATCTCTCAATAATGCCACAAACCCAGATTTGCACTCAAGATATTGTACAAGAAATCTGCAGTCAAGTCTTCTCAATATGAACTCCAACATTTTTCATCAAATAGATTATAAAATAGATTATACCCTTTCTTTGTAAATAACTTTCTAATTTGCAACAGTTTTTATTTCTCCTAATGAAATTCAGTACAAGAATTCTGCAATCAGAAGTCTCCTCAATTTCTCATCAAATTATTCCAAGACCAAATGATCCAAGCTATGCTATTCAAATTAATTTATAGATTTTGATCACAATCATTTTTTTATTTGGGACTATGTTTTGGGACTGTTTGAAAAATGGATACTAATAAAACACAATCAAGCAGTGCTATCCATTTATAGCTTTATTACTTTACATCAATTTGTGACTATTTTTATTTCTACTACAGAATTCTACAAGACACATCTGTTGCTACTTCAGTAAAACATAACAGAGAACTCAATTAAGTCTCCTGTGACATAAAAGAGCAACCTCTGAGCAATATAATTCTCCTGTGGGCAAACCTTCAAGAGCCTCAGGAGGACCATTAACCAGCACAGAACAAAACAAAATATAATATAATATAATATAATATAATATAATATAATATATGCAGTGTGACCAACTTAATTCCATCTAGAATTTTTTAAAGACTTAAAGATTGTTTTAATTCTTTTTGATTATTAGGCATGTCTCAATAGCTTTAAAGACTACTTAGAATAATTAATAGAGACTAAATGAACACTGCTAGAAAGTACATGGAAAAGACTTTTAAAATTAAAAATAAATCAACAAAATTAAAGATTAAAAAACTAAAATTAAATTAACAGAATGGGCCTCTCAATAATTTATAAGTATAATGAGCATCTGTTGTTTTTCTTGGCAGTGGGTGATTTCTTTTTCTGAGGGGAAAAAGCATTTGTTGGAGCAGGCGGAGCGTAGCAACTACCTCAGAGCATGTGCGTTACACACGCATCCACACGGCCCACTGTTAAACAATATGCCAGCGATCAAATCATCCAAACCATGCTCAGTGGAGCACTAACATCTCTGCTGCTAAGAATAACCCTCGCTCTCCGTTGTTTCTTTTTATACCCGTGCCTGGGGAGCCGGCCTGCAGTTTTTAGAAGGACACGACCACAGTCGCTGCTCCTCGGCCCGTTTTATCTCAGCTGACGACACTTGTTTACTTGCTCGCAAACACAAACACACGTTATACCATGGAAAAGCACAACAATACTACCCTGAGGCAACATTTGCATGTTTCACAGTGCAGAAACTAAGTATCTTTCAATGATTTTCTAATAATGGACGTTTCTGGGTTCTCTGAAGCTTAAGTCGTTGTACGTCTATAGTGGTGAACGGAAAATAGTTTTAAAAAATTGTTTTGTGTTCCCATTTGCTCCAATAGCAAAATAAAAATCCTGTCATGCGCAATCATGTTTCCAAAAAATTAAAAATAAAGAGATTTACAGCAGTCAGAAGAGAGAAAGATGTCAAATGTACTGTCACTCCCTCAGATGTTGTATTAGAAACATCCTTTTGTGTGCAATGGTAATGTTTTCTTTTTGTAATTTAATGCCAATATAATAAAACACAAAGTATAATGTTAAAAATGTGCACTTTCCATTTTTTAAATAAATATTTCAAAAATGTTTTGCTAGATTTATGATGTTAATAACTCGGGAAACGTGCCATCACAGTCCATTGTAAAGAGATTTGGATATTTACAGTATTTATCTGTTCTGAAATGGTAAAGGATAACAGAGATATGACATGATAATTGTCACGGTGCGCTACTGTGAAGAGCACGGAGACGAAGGAGCGAGGAGAGGAATTCAAACATATAGATTTTAATAACATCCAGGGAACAAGGAAAACACACGTAGCAAGGGTAGACATATACAATTCCAGACGAGGGAGAACAGAACGGGCTAGAACTCAAATAGGGCAGATAACGAGGGGCAGACAGGTGAGGAGGAAAACTAATAACAAGGAACACCTGGAACTAATAGAACTAAAAGGGGACAGGAACAGGAAGGGCCAAATAAGGGCAAGGAAGGCACATGGGGAGCAAAACACACACACAAAACTGGGAACAGAGTCTGACAATAATATAATATAATATAATATAATATAATATAATATTTTCCAGCCTTTTGGAAGATATTTATCTGTTCTGAAATGGTAAAGGATAACAGAGATGTGACATGATTTTATGAATAGTTGAGTTAGAGTTGAGTAGAGTTTGGATTGATTCATTGAAATGGATAGCTTGAAGTGATTCACAGAAATGAATTGAACTTGCTAACTGTAACAGCATCTTTGCTAATGAAGTTTTGATGGGTCCACAACATGCAACATACTGACTATGAGAAACTTTGCAAGTATATGTCAACTTATTCTACTAACCCTAAACCTAACCTAACAGTCTACTCCGAGAGTTAGTAGACATGTAGTTGCAAATTAACGAGAATTAGTTTACATGTACAGTAGTTGCAAAGTTACTTAAAGGAACACTCCACTATTTTTGAAAATAGGCTCATTTTCCAACTCCCCTAGAGTTAAACAGTTGAATTTTACCGTTTTCGAATCCATTCAGCCGATCTCCGGGTCTGGCGGTAGCACTTTTAGCTGTAGCTTAGCATAGATCATTGAATCTGATTAGACCGTTAGCATCTCGCTCAAAAATGACCAAAAAGTTTCGATATTTTTCCTATTTAAAACTTGACTCTTCTGTAGTTACATCGTGTACTAAGACCGACGGAAAATGAAAAGCTGCGATTTTCTAGGCCGATATGGCTAGGAACTATACTCTCATTCCGGCGTAATAATAAAGGAACTTTGCTGCCGTACCATGGGTGCAGCAGGCGCAATGATATTACGCAGCACAGATAAAATAAATAAAGTAAATAAATAAAATGTCTAAAGTGGACTATCAAAATAAAGTGTAACCAAAGTTTGAGTTATAAAAATCTTGCAATCCTGTTTCAAGCCAATACTACAGTACATGCCAGTTTTTAGTGAATTATAATTTTTAATTAAAAACACAACAACAAAAAAAATAAAAAAAAAATAAAGACACTTATATTAATCATAGAAATAATGCCAAATACGAACTAACCTAAAACTAAATAGTTTTACTTTCTATTTTTTTTTAAAAATGACAGTGGGGGCAAGTAGCCTAATGTAATCAGTGAATGGACGAACACCATATAACACCAGGAACACTGCGTCGAGGGCGCAAAAATGACACACTTCACCTCGACACTTGTGAAATTGACTGACTAGTTGCTATGAGAACTGCATGATCCTGTAGTATCCGGCAGACTAATAGTCAATATTACACATCTAATGTGCTGTCTATTTGTGGTATATTGTGGATATTCACCTGTGTTGACATAAAGCATGGAAGTGGCCGCTTACCGTGAAACTGTTGTTGACATTCTTTGTGCTTGATTCGGCAACACTGGCATCTGAAAGATCCACCTCATCGAAAATAAGAGACTGTGGACAGGAGGAGAAACAGGGGGAGAACAGTAAACATTGACGATCACAGTAATGCAACAGATTTAGCATACGTTCATAAACAAATATCTTATGCACAGTGATGCTGAATACTGTTCTACTGAAATGACACGGAAATGAGCTTATTGAGCTACTGCCAAAGGCTATAGAATACCCAAGACATGTCACTCGTATAGTGTTGAATGGGGAAAAATGCAACGCTTAATATGGCCGCTCATTCGAAGGAAGCCCCGCCTTCTGAATGAAAGAGCCAATGGCTAATTGGTAAAGTCAGTGCGTCACTGCAGCTGCCGTTAGAAGTCCCGGTTGCTATAGAAACAGTCAGCGTTTTTAGACGTGCACTTAGGACTGCGTCAAAGATGGCCGCCGAGTGACATGACTTGTCTTAAAGGGACTTTGCTACTGCTTATCCTATGCACTACCATGCGTGTGTGCTATATGAGTTCAAGATGGATCGCAGACAGCTGGGTGTGTTATGACCTCCTCCATCAGCGCAGAGAGCAGGAACTGAAGGCCTGAGATGATAATAACGCCACACACCACCTTCAGTAAGCAGTGAAAACCGAGGATCAGGAGAGCCAGGATCTTAGAAACTACTGTTGACTAAACATTTGTCAAGGATGTAACAATGTCATTTTCTGCAGTGATAATTAGGGCTGGGGAGTATGAGCAAACATATTATATTATTATGAGTCATTTATGAGACGGAAATGGTGTATATCATCATGGAAATGTATTTCATTTGGCTTACTGTTTTTAGATAATTAAGGCACTTCATCTCATTTGATTATTTTGTCTTTGAAGGATGCAAACCCAAAAATTATTCAGTTTAAAAACTTCTCTACATCATGTAAAAAAAAAACTTTTGAGTGTAATTTCTGATTGGATGAGCCACATTCAAAAGAGTTTTAAAATAGTCAATGGGTCAATGACAAATAAGAGAGCTCAAGATAAAGAAAAAAAATACAGGTGCCAAGTTCCTAGAAATATTTAGAAACATTTAAACCATTTTCAACAAATATTTAAATCAATTAATCAAGTGAAAATTAACAACATATTTTCCATGAATACATGTGAGTGTACACTACCGTTCAAAAGTTTGGGGTCGGTAAGATGTCTTATGTTTACCAAAGCTGCATTTATTTGATTTAAAAAAAAATACAGCAAAACAGTAATATTGTAAAATAATATTGCAATATAAAAGAAATGTTTTCTATTGTAATACAGTTTAAAATGTAATTTATTCCTGTGATCAAAGCTGAATTTTCAGCATCATTATTCCAGTCTTCAGTGTTACATGATCCTTCAGAAATCATTCTAATATGCTGATTTGCTGCTCAAGAAACATTTCTGATTATTATCAGTAGCTGTTTCCATCCACCTATTTTTATGAGCGTTTTGGAATATCGCATAAAAAACGCTGGATGGAAATGCCAAGATGCGAATAAATTCTAAAAATGCGCATAAAAAACTTATGCGCACATTTGAGTAGGATAAACTTTTTATCTGATAAGAAAAAATGGGCATAAACTACAATGGCAACACATTTACCGAATAAATTCCACCTTGCGCATTGAAAAAGTCATGTGACTTTGCGCTATGAGACGGGATAACTTGACTAGCAGCGGATCAATCTCGTTCACAGCATCTATATGTTGTTTTGGTCGTTCTGAAATGCTCGAGCAAAGTCTGTCGTCAAAGTAAGTCTGTATAACTGTCTTACACGACTGCGTTCCCAACCAGCAGGCATCCACCTCCGAAAGCAATGACCGCATTTATTGTGCTTCGTCTGCTTGCTCTGAGGTGCAAGTAATTTATCATATGTGACCCTGGACCACAAAACCAGCCATAAGGGTAAATTTTTTTAAATTGAGATTTAGACATCATCTGAAAGCTGAATAAATTAGCTTTCCATTGATGTATGGTTTGTTAGGATAGGACAATGTTTGGCTGAGATACAACTATTTGAAAATGTGGAATCTGAGGGTGCAAAAAATATCAAAATATTGAGAAAATCGCCTTTAAAGTTGTCCAAATGAAGTTCTTAGCAATGCATACTACTAATAAAAAAATTTAGTTTTGTTATATTTATGGTAGGAAATGTACAAAATATCTTCATGGAACATGGTCTTTACTTAATATATTAAATGATTTTTGGCATAAAAGAAAAATCTATAATTTTGACCCATACAATGTATTTTTGGCTATTGCTACAAATATACCCGTGCAACTTAAGACTGGTTTTGTGCTCCAGGGTCACATATATGAAAATTATTATATTCAGTGGCTTCTCCTAGTTTTCTTAGTGATATTTAGCGCCAGCTTATCATGAAGTGACGATTTTGTTCTTTTTGACTCGTTGGATGAAACGGTGCTTTATTCACAAATGTTTTATGCGATATTCAAGTTTTGCAAATATGTTAAATTCGCATCTTTGGATGGAAACATAGCTAATGTTGACATTAAACAGTTGTGCTGCTTAATATTAGAAACAGTGATGTATTTTTCCAGGATTCTTTGATGAACAGAAAGTTGAAAAGAACAATTTATTGGAAATATAAATCTTTTATAATGTTATAAACATTTTAGTTACTGTCACTTTTGATCAATTTAATGCATCCTTGCTGAATAAATGTATTAATTTCCTATTAAAAACTGACTTTTATAACTGACATTTATAACAATATACTGTCATTTTGATTTATTTAATAGGCCCTTGCTGAACTATTAATTTCTTTTTCTTTTTTTTCTTACTGATCCTGAAATTTTTATTTAAGTGTACATAATCTTTATTTTTAAAAAAGAAAAAAAATTTTTTTTTAACAAATATAATAATGAATTATTAATTCATAAATACAGTATCATTACTATTTAGGGGAGTTATACTATGAAATTTTAAACTATGTCATAAAAAAGTTAAAATCAAATTATTGGATATTGACTTTCAGACAGTCATGAAGGTTCTCTCATGCGTCCACTCTATCGTATCACTTTAAAGTTTTTGTTTATTTATTAATAAATTCATCTTTTTTTAATGAAACCATTTTTTGTCTGGCCAAAATAAAAATTAAAAAGAGCATCATGCCATTGACCTCAAATATGTATATACAGTATGTATACAAATGCCTGTGATCACGTCTATCGTGGCAACACAATATATCATACCACCCAGCCCTATGTACTGTATAATCAGGTTCATGTATGAACTCCAAAAAGAGATACGCGTTTTAAGGATAAAATAGGTATTTCCAGGCTTCCTGAGACCTTTCCATCAAGTTTCAGTTTCAATCAGTGAAGGCCCAGTGTTTTGGGTGGTGATTGGCAGATATTTGAGTAAATGATGGTTGTATACTCAGGCAGTGTAAACAGTGTGACGTCCTATTTATGATCTGTAGGCTTGGCCGCTCTACAGCATGAGTCTGTCACAGACCCGGGTGCCATGCCAATGCAAACAAAACCCCCTCGTCTGAGCACAGCAGTGCGATCGGCCACCTCGTTTCTGCCTGTGAGGTCTGTGTCGTAACTCCCAGCTCTCTGCCGCCATGCGCTAGTGCCACTCCATGTCATTCAGGAGGAAGTGCTATGCAGGAAGTGCTAGCTTGCGTCATGGCAGCTGCATAGCTATGAACTGCCAATTTTTTAGACTAAATCCACTCTTTCTCTCCTGATTCGGATCAGACCACGGACCCAACGCCTGAATGCCATCCGTAACCATATGGTGGGCAGAGAACATACGAATGGAGGCGAACACACTCAATGCAAGGCTCGTGGGTAAAACATCACCCCTCAGACACGGACAATGACATACAAGGCACGTCTCCAGGACTCTCCTCTTCAGATGCTTAAACAGACAAGCAGACGCGGAAATGACGTGATGCCGCTTCGGTTGTCCAATGAGGAGAACGGGCATCCCGAACAATGCCAGCAGGGTGATGGGTGGTCAGCAATGTCATTGATGAAGGCTAGAGAGATAAAGAGGGGGTCGCTGCTGTTGCTGACCCGAATCGCCACCAAACCTTCCTCCGATCCACTGGCGCCAAGAGCGGGCGGCGGACGGCGGGCACCGGTCCAGCAGACGGAAAGCACCCTCCAGCACACGCGGCTACGAGAGACCCGATACTGCCAGCGGGCCAAAACGCCACCCGCCTGCCATAGTGCAACCACACACACACACATACACATAGTGACGTTATAGGCATGGCAGAAGGTGCTATGCAGGTGCCCATGTGCAGCTCTTCAGCCCCTCTCAGCACAGTCATGCCCAGTAACTCCATGGTCAAGGAACCATGGTCAAGCAGGTTTTTTTACCCCCTTACCTTAGATCACTCTGTAGGGCTTACAGGGGGCTTATTGTAGGGGGCTTACTTTACACTGTAAAAATTTTGGACTAAAAACTGGACTTTCTTTATCAGTAATTAAATAAAATTAAGAAGTGCAATGGTTTACTGTTTTTAAGGCAGCAATAAAAGGTTTGAATTTTTTTTACAGTGTAGTGAGGGTGTAGAATCAGTATCAGGATCTAATGAAAGAATAGATCACCTTGGCATCCTTGGCATAGTAGAGCGTCCGTCCCCGCAATTTGAAATAACGCTTTTTCCAACGCTGGAACGAGCTTGTCTGTTTCAGAAGCAGCCCTTCCTTCACGCTCGCCTGCAGAAAGAGAGAGGTAGAACAAGAAGTCAGGAACCATTTAAGTGTTTGCACACAGCACAAAATCACTAGTAGTGATGAATAGATTAGCTCTGTACATGTTTTATTGTTCCAGAGTTAAGACACCTTATTTGGGCTACAATCGAAGGTAGCATTATATCCAGGCAGTATCCATCAATGCCAGAATGCTCAATAAAAAACACACACACACACAAAAAGAAAATCTAGAGAATGCTGATTACATATATTTTATTTAGGGCTGCCAAATCGATTAATTGCGATTAATCGCATCCAAAATAAAAGTTTGTATTTACATAAACTTTGTGTGTCTACTGTATTTATATGTACATATAAATACACACACATAAATGTATATATTTAAGAAATATATGTAATAAATACTTATATTTATATATATTATAAATCTTACATAAATATGTATATATATATATATATATATATATATGTATATATATATTCATATTTATGTAAGATTTATAATATATATAAATATAAGTATTTATTACATATATTTGTGCATTTATATATACACATATAAATACAGTAGACACACATATATTATGGAAACACAAACTTTTATTTTGGATGTGATTAATCGTGATTATGTATCACAGTATGATTATGCGGTCTTAGAACATAGCACTAAAAATAGTTCAATCCCAAAATAAAAATTTACCAGTATTTGGGAATATGGGAGTATTTGACCCAATATTTGTCTGTACTGTGTTAGCGTAGCAACATGCTAACACCCAACACTGTTGAAATCAATTGTACATTTCTGCTTTGCGCTTATGAGAAGAGTGCTTTTTGGATGAGTACTTTTCTGGCCTTACAATTCATTCAAAACCAAAACAAAGAACTAAAAATAGTTCAACCTAATTGCCCAATATTTAGGTATTTGGGACTACCTGACCCAATATTTATGTGCTTTGTTAGCTTCAGGTTTGGGAAAATAATCAAAGTCTGTGGTGAAAAGTGTAATAGTAGTGTGAACATTTCACTGACACTGACAAATCAAAGGCACGTTCCTCTGCCAGATGGAAAAGTTTTCTCCTTTTTTGCCATTTCCTGTGAACATATTCGTACCAGAGCTGACTGAGTGACATGAAACAGACAGGGCAATAAAATAATCCTCTGTCCAACTAGCTAGTCAAGTAAGCTAAATTATAACCTTAAACATGAGCTGTTCCTGCATACACATCATCCAATTATATCCCAGCTATGTAAACAATGTTATAATATACCAAACAAAGAGGGGGCATGTGAGACTTAACATAAGCGTAAAGGAAGCAGAATTTGAAACTCGATATCAGCTCTGGACGTCCACACGGACATGTGCACAGTGCGGGTCTGCCCTGCCAGAGGAAGGAACAGGAAGCCTTGCCAAGATCAAGTGCGCTTAGACACCAATTTCATGCTTGGGAGGGGAAAGACAAGGCAAAAGGCACACAAGAAAGGAAGCCCATTACTCAAAAGATCCTGTCCTGCACAGTGCCACCGTCCCCTTAGCAAGCGTGAACTCACAGAAGCCACGAAAGGAAAGGCAAAAGATCTCAAATCCGAGCATGGCAAAAAGGCTCCATGAAGAACCTTTAACATCCATGAAACCCTTCCACTGCACAAAACGTTCTATACACTCTTAAATATAAAGAGTCCAGAAGGGGTTTTCACAGTGATGCTATAGAAAACTATTTTGGATTCCCCCAAGAACTTTTCAGTGAACAGTTTTTAAAATATACATTTTTAAAATAACATTTTTTTCCCCTCTTAGAACCCTTTTCTCCTATAAAGAACCTATTGCGCAGTGTAAAGTTTTCATGAATATTAACTCTTT